TATCTATAATCGATCAATAGATAGATATGTGCATATAAAATCTAAATTTTTGGGAGGTACCTCCGATTCTGATGCTATATCTCCAGTTCCAAGTAGAATTTCATAAATTTATATAGCCTATGTTACTTTCAGGCGATGTTGTAGTATGCTTGGAAATTTTCAGGAAAATCTATTGAGCGGTTTTCGAGTCCATAAATTATAAACAAACAAACAAATATTTTCCTCTTTTATAGATATAGACTAGCTGAACCCGGAGCGCTTCACTACTCCTTTCGCTTTTATATGCATTCAAAATTGCATATATGAATATTTGTTGGTTTAAAAATATAAATAAAACAAATTCAAAAATTTTAAAAACGTTATTATTGTTATACTTTAATGCGTAAACAAACAAATAGCTCGGTCAAATCCCGTCATTTATTCCAAATTCGGAGAATATATCTGTAATCGATCAATAGATATGTGCATATAAAATCCAAATTTTTGGGAGGTACCTCCGATTCTGATGCTATATCTCCAGTTCCAAGTAGAATTTCATAAATTTTTATAGCCTATGTTACTTTCAGGCAATGTTGTAGTATACTTGGAAATTTTCAGGAAAATCTGTTCAGCGGTTTTCGAGTCCATAAATTACAAACAAACAAACGTACAAACATTTTCCTCTTTTATAGATATATATTAGAATTGAGGTTTGAAAGTGTAATTAAATTCGATGATATAACGAATATAAAGAGATACTGGTGAATAGTAAATAAATCATTAATTTGAATTTTTTTTTGCAATTTTTTGACAAAGGAGTTATAACTTCGAAAATGTTTTTTAATCGAAATGTTTTGAATCGAAATACCTCAAATCGGCTGGTTTAAGGATGGAACCAGTATAAAAGGACTAGATTTAACTGGACTGAAATCATCGAATGCCAAATCAGAGCACATATATACTTTTTATAATATCAGTCATCAAAGTTTTTCACTCGTTTACATTCTTTTATGGGGTCCCTAACTAAACCGATGACACCTTAGTTTTCTCTCATTTAGAAATTACTATCGATTCTGATTACGAAATCTCGACATCGAAAATATATATACAAGTGTATACTCAAAATTTTCTTCATTCATCAAAAATATTATTATTAACAAGTTACTTACCTTTTTCCAACCAACCACATCCCGCATTGGTGGCTTGTTTGGCGTCTGCAGCTTTTATATAGCCCTTTGACAACTGTGGATGCTCCGTCATGAAATCCACCATTATTTCATATTGGCTTTGTTTTGTGTTCATATTTCTTGTATTATTTTCCCTATAAAAACGGCTTTAAGTTATATTTACCTATAAATGTGTATATATTAATGTAATACTCACATTTTTCGAAGACTGTAGTTCCCATTACGAACTCTAAATACGTAATGACGCTAAAATCATCAAAATACCGAATATTGGGACGTGCCGTTATTAAGGGCTATACGAAGACGTGGACCTGCACAGACAATTTTAAGTCATAAGCTGTAGTATCTATTACGAACTTCAAATGCCAAATTTGAAACAATTCCGTTGAATAATGTCGCTAAAATCATCAAAATATCGAATATAGGGAGGTACCGTTATAGGGGGGCTATACGAAAACGTTGACCTACATGGCCAATTTACGAACCTGCCTACAGGAAAAATAAACATTTGTGCAAAATTTTAGCCTTCTATCTCAATTCGTTCGAAAAATAGCGTGATTACAACAGACAGACAGAGTGACGGACAGACATACAGACAGACAGACGGACATCGCTAAATCGACTTAGAATTTTACGCTGATCAAGAATATATATACTTTGTTGGGTCTGACATGAGTATTTCGAGGAGTTACAAACGGAATGACAAAGTTAATATACCCTCCATAGTATGGTGGAGGGTATAAAAAAGAGTTCAAAAGAATACAACAATAAACCAAATTGTAGAATGTCTGCAGTAGTAAGCCAACCTGGTCTTTATTTTGCCTGTTTCTGCCACAATTTCTGACCGAATGAGCTCTTATAACCAGTTTTGTGATAATTGTATAATATTGGTACAATAAGGAGGTAGAACAGCTTCGTAAAACTATAGCCCTTACAGCCCACTTCATATGGAAAATGTGGCTTATATCATCGAAATGCCAAATATCGGTAGGTATCGTTATATAGAAACCGTGGACCAATATGGACAATGTTCGAATACCGAACGTTCAAATACCGAATTTGAAATAAATCCGATAGAAAATATGGCCTAAATCGTAAAAAACTCGGTACCGTTATATGGGCGCTATATAAACGGGGACCTATACTGACGTTGTTCTGCTACAATAGGTAGAACCCCTTGCAAACTCTTAATACCATATTTTGAACAATTCCGATGAAAAGTATCATATATAGGGAGCAACCGTTATATGAGGATTAAACAAAAGGCTTAACTCTAGTTTAGTAAAAACTCTTCAATTTTATCCAGTGGTAGGTATTTTTACCCTGATCCCGGGAAACTATTTTTTCTTGGAGGACGGACCCGGGACCCCAGTTTTTTGACCCCAAAGTCCGGGTTCAATACCCGGGACCCCGGTTTTTTGACCACAAAGTCCGGGTTCAAAACCCTCGTACCTTTCCAAAATGATACAATTTTTGCTAATACCTTACTGGGTCCAGAGATATGGGTCTTTCCATCCGTATAACCCGATTCTAACCAGTTTATTAAAATTATTACCTACCTCTGGGAAAAATTTCGAAAAAATCAAAGAGTTTCTACTAAACTAGAGTTGTTCCAAACAAAAACGTGAACCGATACCGACACAATACAAATTATTGTACCAAATTTCTGTACGTCAAATAATGGTGACTGTATCGTTATATCACCAAATAGTCAGATATATTTGAAAAATTGAATATATCCTGGTTTCCATAATAGAGGATCAATACAAAGCAAAGTCAATTTCAGACAATACTCAATTCTATGACAGCACATCCAAGTTGGCTAAAGGCAACAAACGAACCTTTTTTTTTGAGGCGCGTGAAGCTTTAAAATTAAAAATAAAAAATCTTAAAAATTTTCGAGTTTGCCTTGTTTTTTTATATATTAGATTTTTTTGAAGTAAATGCTGCCAATTCTGAATAATACACTCGAAAGTACTGCCAAAATAAATCCATTTAGTTGCAGCACTTTTTACTCGATCCGAAACTGTTAGATAGTAAGAGTTTAAATTCGGATCGAATACAACTTTTGACTTGTTCGAACTTTCGAAACGAGTTACATAGGAACCCCCAGATTCGTTCAAAATTATATGCAACAAGTAGATTTAATTTTTAAAATGAGTTAAAAGGTCGAAATATGAATGAAATGTCTGGATTTTTTCTCAAAAATATGATCCAAACTGTTCAATCTTACGAGCCACAATTTACGTGTCTTCCAATTATTGGTTTTCAATGTTTTGTTTTCACTTTCCAAAACAATAAATACATATACAATACAACAATATACTTGCAGAAGTCCGAAAAAAATGTAATAAGAAAAAATTGTAATCAGATGGTAGCCCACCTTACCAGCATCCTTTATTAGACTGGACTTAGAGGCAGAACCAGATTGAATGGAGTCAGGAAATGGAAATAGAACGAACACAGCTGTATGAGCTGCTACAACAACCACAACCTTACTTTTTTAATTGTACCATATTAGACCAAAATGTCTTCCGTAACCATAACTGTTTAGAAAATGTCTAAAAATTTACCTGACTACGTCAGTGAACGGAATCCGATATATAGACATGCGATAACATGCAAATTTTCACGATTTTTTTTTAAAAAATTTCGGAAGTCTCCTTCGAATTTGAATACTTTTATTCGAGACCCATTCTCGAACAATTGCACACAAAATTCCATATGAAAAAACAACTTTCGATTTTCGCAAATTTTTTTGGAGGTTTTCCACAAAATTTTATTTCGTAAAATCCTTCCAACCGCAATCGCAAACAACCGAAAGAAATTTTGGGTCAAATTGGCCCAGCCAGGCCCAGGATAGGTTACTATACACAATTTTTATATGTACAGAAAAATATGTGAATAAATTAATAAAATGAATTTTTTAAAACCACATTTGAAAATCCAAACAAAAAAACGTTTATGTTAATTTTTTGTTTGATTGGGTGCTGATGGTTGTACCACAGCAATTTTATGTAATTCTAGTTGAAAGTAGCGAATAGCTATAATTTTTTAGTTTTAGTTCATTAAGTCACAACAGCTAGTGCGTAAGTTGAATACAAACATAAATGTGACCCTTATCAAAAAGGAAATGTCATTCTAAATATTGTTTTTTGTTTGCACTTTTGCCATTGTATGATGGACATAATAAATTAATAGAAAGGCATGTATTCAATATTAGTTTCTACATTATTTGTATAGAGTTAATATACAGGGTAGCGTTTGCCAACTTTTGCAATGAGTATTGTACTGTTTCGTTCTCAATTTTGCATAATCTAGCAGAGCACATGAGCCTGGCTGAGATCAGAACCTACTTCCTCGCCAACCAAAAGAAAGTGTGGCCGTCGCCTTACTGTTCTAATCTGCAACACACTTGTAAAATTACCGAACTGGAACACAAATACTATTAATGTAGGAAACAATCCTACCATTGCATATGTTAAGCAATGAAAAGCAAGTTTCTACAGTCAGACTATTTACCAACTTGGAATGAAAAAATGTTTCAATAATTGCTTTGAGAACATGTAATTTTTTATAGTTTTGCAATTTTTTTTTTCGATATAATAAAAGTAAAATTTTTATCGAAGTAAAAATTTCTACATTCTTGCATTTTTCGAACGGAGCAAATGTTGCATAAATATACATTTTTAAATTTGAACTTCGTCTAGCCACGAAAAGAGCATCTAATACGCCTATCCCTTAAAATTAGTTTTTGGTTCTAGTTTTTATTTTTCTTCGCATGTATCGCAATTCCATTCTAGCTGGGATTATTAATGAATAAAATCCCCCTGATAGTAGCACACTTTTTGGCATTTATTAATTTAATAATTATTGAACAACATGTAACAGTCAAGTGTTTGTTTTTAGAAAGTATGTATATTGAAATGTTGTTTCTTCTATCTTAATAATCATTATATACTTTAAAATTAAAAATGAAAACATATCCTGTAAAGCCTTTCACATTTACAACATCATACATATATCTGGGTAGTAGAGTGTTTCTTTCATTTACTGTTGATATATTTTAATTGTTTCAATCTAATTTCTAAATTAATAATTACATCTTTATGCTCTCATTTATTGATAAATACATCCTAAAATTACATAACTAGTCATAATGCAACCGTATATAGTAAAAAAGCCTTCCGAATATTTCAAATTTTTAACTTAGGTGAAATGTAAATTATGTATACATAAAAGAAAAGCTCAGCTTAAAATATGTACAATAACTAACATTTATGAAAAGGTAATTCTTCTAAATATCACCAAAATGCAAATGACAGTGGTGTGGATATGAATATAATGTACGAATATTCTATTGGCATATATGTGTATGATTGAAATATGTATGTCCTATATGTAACATATTGTAATTTCGCCAACATAACAATGATTTAAAAATCGTTATCTACATTTTAAACTGTATAAAAGTTTTAAGTGGGAGTGTTTCATGTCACTTTACTTTAAAGTCTAATTAAAACCAGATTTGGGAAACATACACTATTCAAGTTTTAAAAGGCAATAGAATAGAATAGAAGCAAATTACAAAATTAATAGAAACTTAATTAAGGGTTCCTCTGCAACCTTGCGCACCACACAGACAGGGTATTTTCTCATCCTCTAAAGGAAACTTGTAATCATATGTTATTTCCTCATTTATTCCTATCGGTTGTTTGGAATATATTACAATTTTCTTTTCGGATTCAATTGTGATGACTTTTGCGTAACAATTCGGCTGAAAGAGAAATTATGTGGATTATGATTATGTTTAAAATGTTCTAAGAAATTGTCTTACATTGCAGCTGTGGTTAATGAAACGAGCTAGGTTACCACACTTCGTAGCGTCGATGATAGTCTCCATGTCTATGCGGAACAAATACGAACTCCCTATGCCAATGGCTTCATATTTGGTTTCACGTAAGTCAGCCACAATAGGCCGAATCATTTGTCCAACGTATTCGATTACCATTTCATCAGCAGCAATCGGTTCCATAGCGAACAGGCCCCAGTCATGTATAGCCGATTTAGCAAATTTAAGCTGTTTTTTGCGGAACTTCAGCTGATTAAATTTCAGCAATTCGGACTCGCCAATTGAACCAAATGCAGTAAGCAAACGTCGTTGATTAGATCGCGCTTCTCGAGAAATGCCCTGCATTTTCGATACTTGCTTATTGTGTTGGGTTGCTTGTTGGTCATCAGTTCTATCCCAGGTCTGTGCATTTTCTACATTAGCCTTGGCATGGTGATATTTGTGTTTGGCTTTATCACGAACATCCAGTTTGTAGAAACCTTCGGTTCTGGCACAACCAGTCTTATGAACTTTTAGCTCATCATCTTTTTTGCGCTTTTTATTCGGCGGAGGAACAAACGATCTGTCCGTAACACAATGGTCTACCCAGTGAGTGTTGTTTAGCAAAAAACTGAAATATCTAGGATTTGTCAACAAAAACTTAAACGTACATTTCAATTTCGAACTTACCCATACGTGTCTTCTTGGAGATGAATTTCATAACAACGCCGGATGTACTGTATATCCTCCGAATCTATGCCTCTAGTCAAAAATTCATACAACACCATCATTTCTTCAGCGGTTTCGCGAGGTTTGAACATTTCTCGAGGCTCAAAGACCGCCAATGCTTTGTCAAAGCTGTTTTTAAAAACCATGTCCGTCTTCTCCAGGTTTTGCTCAGTTTTATTAAGTGCCCGATCATCTTTCTTCTTGCTTCGAATAGCATCCTTTCGTGGTCTTCCTGGGCCAGGTTTCGCTATAGAACATGCTTGGGTGGCAATTTGTGGTGAAGAAACTTCGCTCAACATGCAAGATGATGCAGCAGGGGGCGTTGTGTAACCTCCATGATCGTGTGCCAAATATTGCTGTGTCTTTCGAGCAGTTTCGACTGTCGACGAAATCTTTGGTTTTGGGATATCCGCTTGTGGGGGTAATGAGTAGCAATGCTCCAGCGCCACCTGACTAGCCTGACTAGCTTGGCTGGAACCTCCGTCGGAGGAAGCAGGAGACATTTTTACTGTTTCATTATCCTCGTCAAGTTGGTTAGAACATTTCGATGGCAACAATGTATCTTTTAGATGAATCTCTTCTAGTGTTTCTTCCGTAGCATTTACGCACATTGCAACTGGCTCTACTTGACTTGTTTTTGTGTTATTTTCAGTCGAATAACCATTAGAATCGCTTGACGTGACCATCTTGGCTTGCAAATCTACTTCTACATTTGAATTTGCACAAATATCGTCATTTCTTTTAGAAATTACAGCAGTTGTTGTGCTTTGGGAGTCAGTTGCTTTCATCGCAGTATCCTTTCTGGCCTTTGAGTCGTTTACTTTATTACTTGTAAAAGTCTTTTCTTTTTTATTTTTGAACGTAGGTTTATTTTTGTTGGACGATGTGTTGCTAAATATAGGCTCTACGACTAACTTTCCTCCAGGGGTGGGGGGAACTTTATTAAAATCGAGTGTGTCAGACATGTCTAACGACTTTCTGGATGCTGCAGAATAAGACCGATTTATCTCTATACCCCTAGTCGATGGTTGAATTGAATCTCTTATTTCTTTGTTTTGTTCCTCTTCGACCATTTTACGTTGTTGTTCCTCTAGGAACTCTCGTTCAATTTGCGCCATGTATTCGGTATTACGTCGTCGTTTCTCTTGATATTCACGTTCCTCGTCCGAATCGCTATAAATACGATCGTATTCAAAAACTGATTTCTTTCGTTGTTGAGTTATTTGATGTTCCAACTGCGCATTTTTCTTATCTTTTAAGATTTCTTTCTCTTCAGAAACGGCATCGACAACTTTTTCTAAGGATTTCTGCTTGGAATCTTCAACATTACCCCTTTGGTCTACCATAGTTTCTTGCAGATCTTCTCCTATACTAAATGAGGTGTCTTTGCTAATATCTTCCAAATCTGAAACCAAAGCTTTAGAATCTTCCTTGGTAATTTTTTCCACCCGGCTATCTTTATCTTCATCCTCAGTGTCCGAGTATATCGCGCTTTTTACAACAGCTAACTTGTTTGTTTTTTCTTTATCTCGCTTAGTTTCCTTATCATTTATATCCGATATTGAACTTAAATCATCATCACTTGCGCTGTCGTCGCCATCACCTGAACTTCCATCCTGATCGTCATCGTCTTCGTCGTCATTATCTCCTTCGCTTGACGATGAACTTGAAAAGAAACTGGACGAACTTCCCTTTCGCTTAGTACGGGAAACATTTGATTTGCTCTTGATCGCAGAGTCATGGCGACTTTTTGTTTCCTTTACTCGACTTACAATCTGTTGCAAAGTTCCAGAGCTAAGGTTGGAATCCTCTTTTTCTGAATCTGAGCCTTGCACCATTTCTTCTTGATCACTCAAACGTTTCTCCTCATCTGTTTTCTGGGATTTTGGACTATTTTGTTTGCGTATTCGTCGAAAGGACGGCAGTTTAGGAATCGCAGCACGTAAGCCTAATGCAGGGTAATTTGAACTGAAGTCAGATATGTCCCGATGGCTATTTATCAACTGATTGATGTCAGGTGGTTTATCTATTCGCGTTGTAGTGGGTATGCTTGTTGACGCAAGGCTAGTGACTAGGGAAGGTTTTTCAGTCAGTTTTTCTACTTCGCTTTTATATCTTCGATTCTTCTGAATTTGTTCGTCCCACCAAGTTTCAAAATTTTTAAACGCTGTATTTTCAATCATCTTCTTATTGAAATCTCTTTTTAAAATTTGTTTGAGTTCATCGCTTACTTTTTTGACCACTTCTTCTATGTGTCGCTTATAGGGATCTTCTTCATATACCGCTGTATGTGCTCCAACATAGTTCGTGTAGCCATCAGAACGATAAAATGATTTATAGGCATCGCCATACGCATCGCTATAAGCACCTGACGCAGTACCGAATGCAGATAAGGCTGGTCCGATACCAGGTAAATATGACGATTGTATGTACGCAGGGTTAGGAAAATATTGTGCTGCCGGTGGGGCGACATCTGTTGAAGAATATGGTGCATAACCGTTTCCTGGATAGTAGTACGGATTCGTTGAAGCAGTTGACGCGTATACATACGAAACTGATGGAACAGCAGCGGTTGTACCACTTCCTGTGGAAACTATTAAACTATGATTGTCCTTTACATGAACGTTTCTTGGATCATCGTTTGAGGACAAACTTGAGAGCGACATTCCATCTACTTCTTTTTTCTTAAGTGTCGTCTCTATAGGGCTGTACGAACATTTATTAAGTAGTATTTCGTCATCGCTTGACGATATATCACTGGCTCCTTGTTGGATGACTCTCAATTTTTTGGATGTGTTTGCCGATTTATCATCCTTGATTTGCATTATGTTCGACTGACTTTTCAATACTTTACCATTTGAGTCGGAATTCACTTCCCCTTCGTCTACATCAATTTTCGTCTCCAATCCAGCCTTTTCAGCTTCAGAATCGCTGCTATCCATCTGTAGAAAGGGGGGTGCATTACCAAATGACTTTCCTTTGAACATAAGTGCAATCCGCGTATCCAAATCAACTGTACCCGAATCTGTTACTGGATCCAATTTGCTTTCAGTCCCTAATAGCTTCTTTTCAGATGAAGAAACCTTTTTGATTCGTTGCTTCTGATCAGTTTGACTATTGTTCTCATCGTTACTAGAGTACCCCCCTGGAGGTGGTGGTTCCGGTTCATCCCAATCGGGGGTGGCATCTGGCGGAGGCGGTGGCAGGGGAGGCTGAGTTTGGTGTGGCGGAGGTTGTTGACTTGGTAAAGTTGGCCACGTCCGAACACCACCACCATGCCAAATATGAGCAGAAGTTTGACTATCTGCATTGTAACTATATGCATGATAATCATATGTTGTAGGAATGGAGTTAGCCATTAAATGGGAGGAAGAGGGTGGAATTGTGTTGGTTTGTAGAGGATAGTATATAACACCACTAGATGAGGCATAATGTGAACTGGAAGCAGAAGTGGATTCTCCATAGTCCCGTACGTACCTTGAGCTGCCATATTTATCAGTTCCTCGCATTTTATCCGTACGGTCTCTCTCATCTGACCGATCTCGGTGGTCTCTATCACGATAATCCCGTTCACGATCTCTTCGATCTCTATCACGCTCCCTCGACATTTCGTAATCCCTGCATTTCTCTTTGTCTCGATCCCTGTCTCGCCTTCCTCCACTGATTCGATCACGACTGTGCTCCCTAGATCGATCCCTTTTGCTAGTGTAATGATGATGGTGCTGTGGGCGATCTTTTTCATATCTGCCTATGGTATATTTGTCCCTGCTATCACCTCTCTGTCCACGCTTATCTCGATAAGATCTGTCATCGTCGTATCGATCACGATAACGCTCATAATCACGTTCAGAACGATATGAATGTTTATAACCAACTTCGAAACCGTCATGTGGAATATATTCTTGATGGTGGTGGTCAATGTATCCACTTGTAAGAGACGCTGTAGCAACATCAGCAACTTGTGCTTCTGTATTTATTGAAGGTGGCGGAGCTTTCGGTTTTGTTGACGTCAAATCATCGATAGTTTGTTTACAGATACTGCCAAACGGATCGTGAAACACGCTGATAATCTAAATATAATACATAAACACATTGTTCGAAATTGCGATTTCAGAATAATTACCTTTCCCATCACAGATTTCTGGTCGTATTTCTCAACGCACAATCGTGATGCCTTTACGTTTTCAAAGACTATACGAGCCACTCCAAGATGCTTGTTGGTTGTAGGATGATGATAGATGGTAATATCATCGTACGGACCGCATTTTTCTAACATTCGGGATAAGAACTGTTTATCAATGTTGTCATTGAGATTAGTAATGGTCACTTCGATCGGTGGAGGATTACCGACATAATTTTCATCTATCTTTAACCTGGGGGAAAATATAAGCTATTAGTATGGCGCAATTTATACACGTTCACTATTTCCTTACCTTGGAACTGCCAAAACCATAGGTTCTACGGGTCTAGCTCTCAGACGAACTACCGGGTTTCGAGGATCCCTCGGCATAACCGGAGGATATGTCGGGTCATTAGGAACGATTCCATCGAACCGATAGAGTTTAATAACACCCTTTGTTAAGGCTGGGTCCGAAAGTAGCTTAAAGTTTCGCGGAATCTTTTGGGTGTTTGTTCCTCCACACGTCTGCTGTTCGCCAGCACTAACCGCACCATTACTTGTTGGATGTGTGGGAGGCATTCGCGAGTAACTGCTTTCCATTCGATCATACATTCACGATGTAGACTTCTGTAGCAAGAATTTGTAAAATTTGTCCAAATCTAAAATACGACCAAGAAATACACAAAACAATCCTGATATTAAATTAATTATATCTTACCTGTAGCCAAAACACTTTTTTTAGTTATTGAAGTCAATACCTCAACGTGAATACCACAGAGAAAAAGTTCTCCTCAAACCATTTCTGTGTGGCTCTTCTATTCGACAATATTTTTATACAATACACGGCGAGGCCAATTTACAACTGGCGCGCTTGGCAGCGCAGCACGACAGACAGTAACTTGCTTTGCTTGTTTCCAATTCTATATGGAAGTAGATTCCCACTTTTCGACCAAGGATTATTTTCTATTGAGAGATTCCATAGCATAGGAGATAGCTTATATGGTTTTACAAAGTTTTCCCAACAATTTAATGAGAATATGTCCGTTTTCTCGTAGTTAATCACAAAATTTCAGGAAATAGAAACCAGAGTTCTCCGTCATAGTACGAAAAAATGTTAGCGAGATTTCTGGGGCAGCGCTGCGTGTGAATGGAACAGAAACACATATGCCACTTTTTTAATTGTCAGAACAGAGTTGATTTTAAAAGGAGAACAATGGCTACAATGTCACTGCACAATAGCCGCGTTCCTACACTTTGTTTCTGTAGAGTAAAATTTATTTAAATATTTTACGTGATCTCGAGCCAGAGTTTAACTGAATCCCACGGTACAATAATAACGTAGAACAAATTAAGAAGGTAATGCCATTTCAAATTATCTCACCCATCTCAGCGTTTTCTGCAATTTACTCTGCCAAATTCCACTGCGTAGAAAACACGCTTGTAATAAATTTATACGCCGACATTGTGAAAAACATTCGTGGTAAAAAGTTAAACCTCATTTTTATTTTCTAAATTTGCAAAACGTAGTATACCTCATGATTAGGTATATTTACATTTCAATTTGGAAGGGATGCAGTTTTTTCCACTATTTCCTAGTGATTCCTTGAAGTGTTACAAGATTTACCCTAACAGCTGACAAATAAACATTGAGAGGAAGAATATAAAAGGATTAAGTTTAATTATATTAGGAAAATGTTTTTCGCCTATTGAACTTAATAATCCAAATACCAAATGTGTTTATTTATGATGTTAAAATAATATATATAATATAAATTGTTTTGACTTCATTTTTGGGCACATAATTCTGATAATTGGTTATCAGGTTTTATTCCTTAAACCGGATCTCTGGATTTAATAAACACAAACTGATCATGGTGTTTATATACTTGCCGTACACCCAAAGTCGCATTGGAGCAATAACCAAAAAAGCACTTATTTTCTACCATCAATTGTCTCTTTATTTTTTATACATAATTTTAAGCGATTTTTTGCATCCTCTTTTGGTTGTGTATGTACCATTTTTTAACGATGGTAAAATTAATATGGTAAAGACATATATCAGTAGACTATCCATCACTGCATTTTCTGTAATTTACCTTGTCAAAATTCACTGAATAAAAACAGGTTCCCATCTTTCTGTTCATACAATGGATTTGTAAATAAAAATTCTGACAATGATATGTTGTCAAATCAATAATTTTGATAATATTATAAACATATGTCATGACTTTACCTTCTTAATTCTACCATGCTTCTACCATGGGTTGTATCTAAACACATAAGATTAACCTACTGGATCTAAAATAACAGTAGATTAATCTTCAATAGTATAAATGCAATTTGACGTTAACGAAATGTTTTTTACATATATAATGTCAAATTTATTATATAGTGGTAACACATATCGTGTAAAACATAGACGCCATTGCAGTTGCGAAGTAAATAAGTAAAGCATATAAAGTAGCTCCAAGCGAAACTCTTACACTTAACAAACAATTTTCTTTCATTCAATATATGATTGTTATCAAAATCACTACCAGAAGAAACGTATATTTTGTTGCGGTCCGTTTTAAAAATCAAGTCCGCACCTGCACTCTAAAAAAATCGGCGTAGAAAGGCCTTAGGGTGAGACCTTTCACGCCTGCGTGACGGTCTCCAATCCACGATTTAACTCTAGTTCCCAATTGGCAGTAAAGTTGAGGGGGCCAGAGAGAGCTAGGGACGAGTTAGGGGGTATGTTATTGGCACTGTTTGCGGGTAACCATTAAAAATAGCAATGCCCATAATTAGTAAAATCGTTTGGTTTATTTTGTTAGTGGCAGTTTCGAGCCCCCGAGTGCGAAGGAAGATGGGGGAACATCAACACGACTTATGGTGGCTGGGCTTTCACCACTGGTTATTTGCAGCCACAGAGATAGTTATGTCTCACATGTTCCTTCACACTTGGGTTGTGCCAACTAAAAAGAAGAAAAAGCAAATTAATAAATTGGGAATGATAATAAATGAAAAAAATTAAATCAGTTGATACAAATAATACCACCGCCAGCTCTTTCAAGTAAGGTTTTTTGGATTTTGCCTGTTATTATTATTCGCGACATTGACAGGTGAATGAACTCGCGTTGCCAACATATGAAAATAATTCAGAAATTTCGGGAGGGAGATATCGGAGTATCCCGCGTTAGGAGAAAAGGACAAATCTATGAAGATGAAAGATGACAAAAATAGCTTTTATGTAAAATGTCGGATGTTGTTATATATGAGGGTACAAGCGGAGAAAAGGCAGTTAATTTTGTGGTGCTGAGTGGCAGTAGTAAGGAAATGAAGTAAAAAGTTTTTATTTGCCAAAAAAAGGGTGCATATTAATATAGAACTAATCTAAATATTTGTAAATTTCCCTTTTGCAAAGTTTATAAAATAAACAATATTATTATGGTTACAAGGAAAAATAAATCCGTGCTTAATTAAATATGTTTGTGTGGTGGGAGTGTCTGCCAGAATTGTTATAACCTATACACCGAGTTACTGATATATGTGCCCAGTGAATAAATGAAAAGCTAAAAGTAGAAGTTAGATATGTCATGGTTTTATATTAATAATTGCCTTATTGGCCAGCTAGATCGAGAACTTATTCGCTGGATTTTGAGAATTGGTTTCAGCGGTATCTAGAGAACCATAGTCATACTAGAATACGTTGCCAAAATATCCAAGGCAAAATACAGCATTACCTCCAGATAACTCTGTATAACAGTCCCACTCCAGTGACATCTATGGAGTATGGAAATATATCGTAGGAAGATCTCTCCCCATCAACCAAACTCAGCACCTAAGGCGAATTGACCGAGGTCACAAAAAAATAGAATCCATTTGTTTTGTCGAAGTCTCCACTTGTAAGGTTAATTCCCATCGCAGTGGCTGGAAATTGAAACCGAACAAATATAGTTAATTTGGGAAGAAAATAAAATCCTGCTCTAAGGGAGCCATAAATCGACGCATCGGTTCCACTAAAATATCGAGATCTCTTCTTAGCAAGTTCAACTTGTCTTCCGACCTGACGATCAGGATAAAGGATAGTGACAAAATTTCAGATTCTTTGTATTTAAGTATTTTTTTAATTTTTGTTTTATAATAGTTTTATATATTTTTTTTTTATTTTTAGTTATATTTTATGTAAGTGTGTTTACGTCGACTAAATGTTTATCTTTTATTCTGTCTATAATTTACCTAAGCGACATTCTCGAAGTTCTTTTTTTTCTGTTTGTTTGCAATAGTTTTGTCCGAACGCCGACTTCAAAGAGCTCTTGCAGTAGACGTTAGTAAGGACTGGAAAATCAATAATATAATCAAATCATAGTTGACACTTTGCTGGTGTCGTGGCTAAGGTTAAATATCTGACAGTTCCATTTTGAAGACATTTTGTTGATGTGCTCATTTGGTCAAGAGACCGATCGATTTTCATTGGATATAATTCCTTTTTCTTAAATTTATTCAGTTTGTTTATTTTATTTATTGTTTTTCTTTATAATGATATTCATAGTCGAGGCGAGGTAAGTGGTGTAATGGGGCGGTAAATGGGATCACCAAAACGTAGAAAAGGGATAGTGATCATGGATGCGAGGGCATAAGACAGACTATCAAAGTAAGGATGCGGTTATACATCGAGATAAGTAGCTAGTTATTATTCTGCATTAAAAATTACTGTTGCGTATGGGTTGGGAACACGCCGTAAGACCGAGTTAGCCTTTGCCTGTAAGGACCATTGTTTATTAGTGTATATATGGTATATTTTTTATTAGGCTGTAGAAAAAAAGTTTACTGTAATTGTAATCATCCCTGTTTCGAACTGCGTCCAACTTCGCGCTATTTTTGTAAATGTATTTGGGGAAGCCCCAAAAAGCTAATATATCAAAAATTACCACTTGTTGTGTAATTTACTGACGTAAATATTAAAAAAATAAAAATTGGAAAACAACGAGGACAAACCACTGTTGGAGTGAGAAATTTAGTAATTTAACATAACAAAAACCATAAATCGCTAAGTGATTTATGGACGGTTCAAAACAGATGGATGTGTAGAAAATAAGAAAAAAAACGGCTAGTAATAAAATATATACCTTGAGTGATGAGAAGTATATTTTATGGTAGATCAAAAACATTTTGAGTGCACCGAAGCTCGCAAAAATTTTTGTCCTTTTTTGTTATTTTCCAGGAATAAACCTAAACTCGGCTGGCTCCCAAATGACAAGACTGGCAGGATTTCGGCAAAATAAAAAGCTGCGTTTATTTGGTTTGTTTGTTTACAAATAGTGAGTTTAGTTGTCGTTGTTTATTCTCTGTAAGAATTTTAAAAATTTAAAAAAAATTAAGTTTACAAAAAAAATAAAAATATTTAATTTAAAAACAATAAAAATTAACACGACTTACTTATTTTTGGGTTCTAACAAAAAAGGGAATAAATAATGGCCAGAAGGGCCTATTTATATAAAAATGACATTAAGCAAAACAACAAAAATAAACAAAATGAAGATGTTGGCTTAAATTTACAGCCTGTTCCACGATCTCGAAAGAAAATTTGTGCGAACGAAGGCTACTCACTCACTTTCGTATAAGAATGCGTTCCACTAACTTTCGTTCTTTCTTTCGCATAGCCTTACGTGATTCAGTGTTGCTAAATATTTTTTTGGAAAAATTAATCGCGAAATAAAGCAAAAAAAGCGTCAAATGTCTAATTTAAACGCGAAAAAGCAGCAGTGGCTCTGTCTCAACTGACATTTCAGTTGTAAACAAACAAATTGTAAATAAACAAACAAAATAAAATTTCTAGTGACTGTGTTCAAACTATTTGTGCTCTTAGAAAATAAAAAAAATAATATTTCCGTAGCCCTATTTTTTATGGAGGAGGTTCGAAATGTGCCACGGAGGCATTTAAGAGATGCTTCGAATTTATTTGAAGTACCTAACAACCAGTAAGTATGATTGTATTTTTACATTTTTGAAATAATAAAAAATGATTTTTTCTAGGTTTGTGGCCAACTTTCGTGTGTCGAAGGAAGTTTTCGGGCTCTTTTGGATATGATGGTTGCAGAACTACCCAAATCCGCCCCGATTTAAAACTTCTTCTGCTGCTTCCAAAAATTGGCATTCCTCTGGCGAACACAGGATTCTCCTCCATTTACTCAACTAGTGCCCGCAGCTGTGTAGTTGATGATTTTTTCGTGCTGGAATTGAGAAAATAAAAAAAATATATATTTGTTGTCCACATATTAAATTGCATTTATTATTTTTACTTACATTTTTGTTTCCATTTTCAATCAAGCAATGTTTATGTTAAAACAATTTTCCTTAATTGTTATTATACGATAGCAAACACACAAGTGACTGATTTTGACATTTGTGTTCGCATGCGTACGAAAGAAAAAAGATAGTGGAACGCAAAATTACACTGAAATGCTTACGTTTTCGTTCGCTTTGATTTTCGTGCAAATTTTCGTTCTGATAGATTTTAGTGGAACGGAAATCAGCTGTTTGTCGTGTAAAAGTTGTGCGAACGTGTTCTTTCGATATCGTGGAACTGGCTGTTAGTTTCGTCTCCCTCTTCGCTTGGGATATTTCGGCCATTTATGACAGTGGTATTTCAAATTTGGCTACACTTTTTTAGCTTTGGTAATTGCAGGGTTACCATCTCCAACGTCCCCACCCCCGTGAACTGACCCAGAGGGGGAGGCTTCACCAACTCCGTCTCCAGACGCTTCCACGTCCAAAATGGCAAGTTTGGACACAGGTCTGTGGTATACACCGGCACTCGTTCTCACCTTGGCTGATCGTGCCACTCCGTCTTTGCCCCTGAATACTTCGATGACTCGTTCACGTCTCCATTGACTCCAAGCCATCTCTGGATCACAAACAAACACAAGGCAACCAACATCCAACGACCGAGAAGGAAGACACCATTCTGTTCTTCGAGTTAATTCTGGAAGATATTCCCGAAGCCACTGATGCCACATGCCATTCTTCAAATTTTGGGTGACGCGCCACTGCTTCCTTAAACACATCAGTCTAGGCTCAAACGGTGCTGGAGTCTGGGTTGAATTGGTACATCCAAGCAGAAAGTGGTTTGGAGTCAATGGATCTGGGTCTTCTGGAGTAACTGGCAAATATGTAAGTGGCCTGCTGTTGACCATATTCTCCGCTTCAATCAGGAACGCTTGTAGAGTCTCCAGTTTTGGGGCTTGCTCCTTTAGCATGATGTAAAGAGCCTTTTTAACAGATTGGACAAGACGCTCCCATACTCCGCCTTCGCTGGGATTCACTGGCGTATTGTAGACCCATTTTATTCCAAGAGCTGTCAGACCAGAAGAAACGGAATTAGTGTCTAAAAAATTGGTTATACCTTGCAGCTCCTTTGCTATGCCAACGAAATTCGTCCCATTGTCGCTTCTTCTCATCTCTGGGACGCCTCTTCGATTGATGAAGTTCCGAATACACATTAGGCAGGAATCACTCGACAGGTCTGTTGCAATTTCCAAGTGGACAGCGCGAACTGTAAGGCATGTAAACAGTGCCACCCACCTTTTTTCTCGTTGTCTCCGGATTGACACTGTTACAGGACCAAAATAGTCAAGTCCTGTGTAGGTAAAGGCTCTGACATAAGGTGTGACACGTTCCAAGGGTAACGGGGCCATTTGTGGTTGAATTGGTTTGGCCCTACGAATCTTGCAGACAAGACATCGGAACTGAACGCTTCTTGGAAGTTGACGAAGTGACGGAATCCAAAATCGCAGACGAATTTCGCTCATTGTAGTGGCAACATTTATGTGACAAAAACGAGAATGGTAAAATTCCACCAGCAAAAGTGTAAAACGATGACCTTTGTGTAGAATTATTGGTCGTCTGGTATCCAGGGACAAAAAAGCATTTTCTATTCTTCCAGATACCCGAAGCAAACCATCACTTCCAATTTGTGGATTTAAAGACTTTATGGAGCTGTTGGCAGACACTGATCCAGTTCTCTGTATGTCAAGAATTTCATCCCCATATACTTCTTGCTGTACGCAGCGACAGAGATACATTTCCGCCCGTGCTTCTTCTTCCACCGTCAAATCACCCGACACCACTGATTTCCTCTTCATATTTTCAACGAATCGGAATATCCACGCCATTGCCCGTTTCAGCCTACGATATTTTGAAAATCTATTAATATCTGGAATACAAAAACATACCTGGCAAGCCACCAAAACTTTGTATTTGTTTCTTAGCTCTGTTTTGCTGTGATCCACACAGGTTCCAATTTGTCCCTCGTCCGGCCAATACTTCTCTTCTTTTCTCAGGAATTCTGGCCCATTTTTTCAACGTCCTTCTGGCTGGTACTTCTTGGGTCCTTTAGCACGGGTCCCTTCGTCAGCTGGGTTTTCCGCTCCTGGACACCACCGCCACTGCTCCATACGGCTGCTTTCCAGAATCTCCGACACTCTATTTGCCACATATTGTTTGTATGTACGGTGTTCTGAACGGATCCAACTTATCACTGTTGAGGAATCTGACCAAAAATAAATGTTATTAATATTCTTCAAATGATTTTCCAAAATGTTTTCCTTCATTCGCACTCCAATTACTGCTGCTTGCAACTCAAGCTTAGGTATAGTATGGTATCTTGTTGGGGCACAGCTCGTCTTGCCCATAACGAACACAACACTTACACCACAATTTGTTACTATACGCCAGTATGCCACAGCAGCCATTGCATCTTCACTGGCATCCACAAACACATGCAAATCTACTATACCATTAAAAAATCCATCACTGTAACACCTCGGAACTTTGAAATCCTTTAATTTAGGCAATTCCTCCAGCCAGGTCTTCCAGCGGCTATAAATCGCGGCCGGCAACTCCTCGTCCCACTTTATACCACTTTTCCACACATTTTGCATAATTATCTTCGACGTCACCATAAAATCACCAAGAAACCCAACGTCCTTCTGGCTGGTACTTCTTGGGTCCTTTAGCACGGGTCCCTTCGTCAGCTGGGTTTTCCGCTCCTGGACACCACCGCCACTGCTCCATACGGCTGCTTTCCAGAATCTCCGACACTCTATTTGCCACATATTGTTTGTATGTACGGTGTTCTGAACGGATCCAACTTATCACTGTTTCCTCAACAGTGACCAAAAATAAATGTTATTAATATTCTTCAAATGATTTTCCAAAATTTTTTCCTTCATTCGCACTCCAATTACTGCTGCTTGCAACTCAAGCTTAGGTATAGTATGGTATCTTGTTGGGGCACAGCTCGTCTTGCCCATAACGAACACAACACTTACACCACAATTTGTTACTATACGCCAGTATGCCACAGCAGCCATTGCATCTTCACTGGCATCCACAAACACATGCAAATCTACTATACAATTAAAAAATCCATCACTGTAACACCGCGGAACTTTGAAATCCTTTAAATTAGGCAATTCCTCCAGCCAGGTCTTCCAGCGGCTATAAATCGCGGCCGGCAACTCCTCGTTCCACTTTATACCACTTTTCCACACATTTTGCATAATTATCTTCGACGTCACCATAAAATCACCAAGAAACCCGAATGGATCGAATACGGACATATTTAAAGACAACATTTCGCGTTTCGTTGGCACTTTTTGCAATTTCAATATTTTTTCATCCACTTTGTGCAATTTTAATTCAAAACAAAAAACATCTGATTTTGGCAGCCAATGAATACCGAGTACCCGTTCCATTCCATCATCAAAAATGGAGTTGCCATCACTTTCATCAGAAATAGGGTTGCCAAACATAAATAGGGTTGTAAAACAAGGGAATTAGACTTGATGTTGCGGAGATTAAATCCACCCACCATCACGTACCACTTCAACTGCCTCACCTTCAGTCTGGAAACAGTCGACGTAATCGTCTACGTAATGACGATCGATGATTCCTTGTACTGCTCTTGGCGACTCATTTATAAACCTTCGGGCATTTAGGTTTTTCACATATTGGGCTATGGTGGGCGAACAAGTGGCTCCAAAAATCATCCGTTCCATTACATAAGTTTCTAAGGGTTGACTGGGATCCCCATTTCTCCATAGAAATCGCTGACTGTCCTGATCTTCTTTGGCGATTACAATTTGGTGGAACATCTCTTGTATATCTTCGCACACGGCTACAGGAAATTCCCTGAATTTAAAAAGAATAGAGATTAAAGAGTTATTTATGTCAGGTCCAGGTAATAAGGCTTTATTTAATGAAAATTGTTGAACTTCAGCAGCAGCATCGAAGACGATACGAATTCCATCTTTGTTGGGATTTTTAACGCCTAAATGTGGCAAATAAAACGTTCGGTCGCTCCTTCTTTCTCGTTCTGCTACTGAAAGTTTACGGCAATATCCTTTTTCCTCGTAGTCTCTTATCTTTTTGCAATATTGAGCTGCATATACACTGTCCTTTGCCATTTTTCGTTCCACACACTGCAATCGGTTGTACGACAAATTGTACGATTCTGGAATTGGAGAAAAATGTTCTTTCCACAAAAGCGGACACTGATATCGCCCATCAATTCTTTTCGTGTTTTCTCTCAATATGTTTAACGCTCGTTCATCATCTATGGACAGAATTGGTGTCACATTTACTTTGGTACCCAATGTCTCCACGTCGAAATATTGCCGCATCATGGTATGCATTTTCTGAAGCAAGTCACAATTTTCTTCCTCGAAACGTTTCTAACGTGTAAAGCCCGCTTAAGATTGGAACTCTTCTCGCCTGGGATCGGTCCATAAATTACGGCGCCTAATCTCGTTAGGGTAATGATTGGTCCAACATCGGTCATCATACGAGGAGCTTCCAAGGGAACTGTTAAAAATGAATGTTGCAAGCTTAATATTAGTTTAGGTTGAACATTCGAATAATCCCGGAATGGGATTTCGGCGATTTGGTCGATTTCACGGGATTTAATTAAATGAGCCAGATGGCAACTCTGTATTGGCAATGACAGATTGGACGAAATGTAAACATTGGTTATCGGGTACTTGTTGTACTCACCGACACCACTAATTGTCAAATTAATTTTTTCTGTTTTTTCGTTTATGTTTTGGTAATTAAGCCACTGAATTTCTAAAATCTCCGGTTTCCCGTGTACTCCGAGTTCGCGAGCAACGTCCTCGTCCAGCATGGACACATTGGCGCCGTCGTCAATGAACGCGTACGTCGTTATTTGTTTGTGTGTTCCGTATAGCGTCACGGGCAAAATCTGGAACAGTACGTTTTCGGTGTAGTGGGCGGCATGACAATTTCTTCGTTGTGTTTGAGACGGCGGTGCGTCGGGAAGAGATGGGGTGTTCGTTCGTGGCTCCAAATCGTGTGTGGATAATGTTCGGTTCGGTTCCTGGGATGGCGTCGCGAGTGTTTTGTGCAACAATTGGTGGTGTAATTTTTGGCAATCATTTATGCCACAACGACGCTTATTGTGGCAATTTTTAAGTTGGTGGCCTCTCTTTAAGCAACAAAAACAAGTTTTAATTTGTTTAATTTTATTCCATCGGTCATCGATGGCCATTTTTAAAAAGTGTGGACAGATTTTTATATTGTTGCACTCTCCCTGACAAATTGGACAGCTCGAACTGACAGCGACATATGCGTATTTTTTTTGTTGTGTTTGTGTGTGTCGGCGATTGGACGAGGTTGCTGAAATTGGCTGTGTGTCGTGGACCATATGTGCGAGACGGCGTAATATTCCCAACCAATCGCTGAAATCAACTATAGTGGCGGGGTGCTGGAGTTGCAGACATTTTTTGGCCCATTGCATTTGGCGGTTTATCGGCAGTTTGGACACTAGCTCACTCAGCAACGATGGATTGGATAGATGGTGTTCACCCTTGGCGTTTTTTAGGAAAGTGGCCATATTGGAGAGTTTGTTGGCAAAGTTGACAAGTGCATCCAAATTATCATCTGCCAGCGGTGGAATGGCTCGGACTTTTTCTACTTGGCTTCGGATAAGTTGCTCTGGTCGACCAAATGTTTCCTGCAGAATTTCCAAAATGGCGCTGACGTTGGCAGAACTCCCCAACATGGATTCCACTGTTTCCCTTGCTCGGCCCTTCAATGCGTCTCTCAAACGCATGATGTTATGGAGATTGGAGTAACCAAATTCGGTTGTGGTGCTCTCGTATTCTTCGAAAAATGCCTGCCACTCCTCTGGAAGACCTGAAAAAAAGGCAAGGGATAAATTTTTTTATGTGCATTTCCGTTGGAGTTATTTGAAAGTGAATTTGGAAAAGACTCATCTGTGTTGATAGACAATGGCGGCAGTTGATGCACTTGAGTCTGCAACTGTTGACTTGTTGTTGGCGGTACTGTTTGTGGTGGCAAAACTACTGAATGTAATGGCAGATTCAATGGCGGCTGTGGCGGCAGACTCAATGGCGGCTGTGGTGGCAGATTCAATGGCGGCTGTGGTGGCAGATTCCTTTGTGGCTGTTGCGGCGTATTCAATGGCGGTTGTTGTGTCGTTTGGTTTGAGAAAATTGGTGGTTGTGACGTCAGTGTAGGCAATGCTTGCTGCGACATTGTGTTTTGCAAAGAAGCAAACTGCTGTGACGTATTTAATAGTTGTGCTTGCATTTTTGCTTGTGCTGCTAAAAATTCGTCTTGCATTGCTTTCATCTGACGTTGCATCTGTTCCATTTCAAATTTCATAAGTTTTCTCATCTCGGCTAATTCATTTGCACGATTTGGTGTTTTGGCTGGTGTATTTGAAGGCGGTTTTTGGAGCTGTAACTGAGAAGAAGAAGATTTAGAAGTATTGGCGGGCGGTGTATTGACTGCTGCGTCTGCAGCTGGCATTTGTTGCTGTTTTTGGTGGCTGCTGGTAGGCGTATCTCCTGTTGGTGAGCGAACGACAGACATATCGTAAGTGTCAGGGTTATATCGGGCTGGCGGAATTCCTTGAGTGCTGCGTCCACTGGTTCTTCTGGTTAGATCTTAATTTTGTGGCATAAAACCGGCAGAATTTCTTGAATACAGGTAAGAATTTTTTTTTTTTTTTTTTTGTGACTTAAAGTGGTGACAGCTGTTTTTATAAAATGTCCGTCCGTTTTAATAAACAGCAACAATAAACACAAATTCAACAAGACAATTGACGACAGAAATTAAATTGGCATAAAACAAATAAACAAAGAATAAAGTTGTCCTTTTTTGTTATTTTCCAGGAATAAACCTAAACTCGGCTGGCTCCCAAATGACAAGACTGGCAGGATTTCGGCAAAATAAAAAGCGGCGTTTATTTGGTTTGTTTGTTTACAAATAGTGAGTTTAGTTGTTTATTCTCTGTAAGAATTTTAAAAATTTAACAAAAATTAAGTTTACAAAAAAAATAAAAATATTTAATTTAAAAACAATAAAAATTAACACGACTTACTTATTTTTGGGTTCTAACAAAAAAGGGAATAAACAATGACCAGAAGGGCCTATTTATATAAAAATGACATTAAGCAAAACAACAAAAATAAACAAAATGAAGATGTTGGCTTAAATTTAGTTTCGTCTCCCTCTTCGCTTGGGATATTTCGGCCATTTATGACAGTGGTATTTCAAATTTGGCTACACTTTTTTAGCTTTGGTAATTGCAGGGTTACCATCTCCAACAATTTTTGAAAAGGATTTGGGAAAAGTATGTTGCCCCAAACAATAAGAAATATACTGCATATGTCAAATTACAATGGAAGAAGAGCTAGGCATAAACTTCTAATCAGCAAACGAAATCAAAAAGTAAGATTGCGATTTGTCAAGGATCACACATCAAAAGATTTTTCATTTTGGAAGAATGTGTTGTTCGCGGACGAAAGCAAATTCAACCTTTTTGGTTCAAATGGCCGACCTTATGTATGGAGAATCCGCCGTTCGCGGAAGCATAGCTGAGTGCTACCGGACGCGTCCACGGGTTGCGGATAGTGGGACGCCCGGTAGATATATCGGGTAGCTGCGAATCAAATAAGCAGTCGCGGACAGCTCAGCGGTTTCTAGGGGGAGAGTCTCGGACTAAATACCCGAGTGCCTGTGATCCCTGGACTCGACGAGGCGGCACTGGCGCCCCTAAACTATCCAGTCAACGGCCTGGTCCACCGCAACGGACTCCCTAATGCTGGGGTGTTACGTAAGCCGTGCCCATCAGTATTCCAAGGTTTGCAGTCAGGGTACCGACTGTATTAGAACGGTTGCCTCGTCGATACCTGGGCGCCTCGACGAGTAACAGGCTTAGCTGCCAAGTCCTTACCATGATATGGAGGCTATGTCATGGCGGACCTCGTCACCTCCAATGTCCCGATAACTTATGGAGAACAAAACTAATCAAAAAACAACAACAAAAACACAAACATTAACCGACAATCATTCAACCACCTCTTCGGAGGTGTCGACCCAGGACATGGCCATGGACAAGATTTTAACTTCGGGCGGGGACGTGACTCTGGAAACGTACAGAGACGTAGTATGTGAAAGCATACAGCGACAGAGTGAACAGCTGTCCGCCCTTCTAGAGAAGACCACTCTAAGGCTCAACCAAGAGAGTGTGCCCTCCGGCTTTGGGAATGACTCACCCCTCTCTGATGAGGAACTTGACGTCACCGTCATACCCTCATCCTTGAGGAGTGAGTCAGCTTCAAAAACTATAGAGAGCACTCAATCTGCTGCCAAGGGGGGGTCAACTCCTGTGGAAGGGGTTACATCGGTACCTACCGATGCGACCAACCTCCGGATCGAGGATGGCGTCGTGGAAAGGGACACTGATGTTCCAACCAACCGCGATGCCTCCGGATCGAAGGAGGTAAAAATAAGGAAGGGTTACAAACGGTCGGTGAGGTACTGTAAGAGCTTCATCGGTCGCGAACCCTTACAAATTACAGAGAGGGAAAAAGCCCTGATTAGGGTGAACATGAAGGCAATAAGGAAGTTCGAGAAGAACCATCCGGAAGTGCCTAAATGTACACTTGAAAAGGACCTTGCCTCTCTCTTTACAGCCCCCGCTAACTAGGTAAGTCCGTCTGAGGATAAGCCAACTAGTGGGGCTGGGGTGAAGGGCAACACCTCTCCCGGCGGTGGAAAGACAGCTTCGGCTGTTGCACCACCAACGGAATCTAGTGTAGCCCCCACCACTTCTAACTCAGGAAAACGGAGGAACAAAAGGAAGGACGCCCCTAACGGAAATCCTGTCCCGGTGGAACCAAAGGAGGCCAAATCCTCTTCTCGGGTAACGATGAAGAGAGGACGGTCAACGGAGGAACCACATCCCGAGGCAAAGAAACCGTTAACGGGCAAACTTCCTCCTCCGCCAACTGCGGCTTCTACGCCAGTAGCTGCAGCTGGTAGGGAGGTAGTGGCAAGGCCGGTGCAAGCAGCCTCAGTGGACCCTAGGTCTGCTAAAGCGAAGCCTGCTACCACCAACCCACAACCTTCAAGCCAGACATCAAGGAAGAGGAAACACTCCCAAACCCTGTACCCGGACAATCTCCGTGTAGCGGTCATCGACCGAGCTGAGCCGGAAGGCAAAATCAGCGAAAGTCGGTGGCTTCTCATTGAGGACCGTCTGAGGGAACAGGTTTTCCTGGGGGAGGATCCTTCTAGGTTACAGTTTGGCAGTGCTACCGTCTACAAGGGAGTGAAGGTCATCTGCTGCGAAAATGAGGAGTCAAAGAACTTCCTCGTGACCGCAGTAGCTGGCCTTCAGGAACTTTGGGATGGAAGTGCACTTGCTGCTGTATCCCTGAAGGATATCCCCTGCAGGAGGATTTTGACAGCATGGGTGCCGCCGCCCTCTGTGGACCCGGCACGCGTGCTGATAATATTGGGGAAGCAGAATCCCAATCTCTGCACGGACGGCTGGCGTTTGGTTGGCTCAAGTACGGAGGGAGGGGGCCTGGTCATAAAGGTTTCTGTTGATACTGCTGGCCAGGAATACCTTCAGGCTCGAGGAGGGAAATTGCACTTCGGCACAGGATGGATTCGGTTCCGTCTAACGCCGCCGTCGCAGTAGGAGAAACGAAGCCACAGCTGCTTAGCATTGTGCAGATTAACCTGCATCACTGCAAGGCAGCTGGGGCTGAGCTTCTCCTATCCCTCTCCAAGCTTGAAGTTGACATAGCCCTGGTCCAGGAACCTTACATTTTTAAGAATAAGGTAACTGGGCTAGGGAGTGAGCGGTACATCACCTATGCCACCTCCAATGGGGAAAAGGTTAGAACGTGTATCGTCGCTAAGAAAAACTTAAACTTAATCTTCCTCAACAATTTCAGCGGAGGAGACGCCACGGCGGTCAGACTGGAGACTAGGACGGGCAAAACACTATTCCTCGTCTCCCTGTACCTTCCCTTCGAGCACCCCGACCCACCAGGCCAAGTGGTAGAGGAGCTGGCCTCAGTACTGGGAGGAAAAGGCGGCCTCATCATTGGATGCGATGCAAACGCTCATCACTCTCAATGGGGCAGTAGTAACACCAATGCCAGAGGTGAGTACATTTTTGATTTTATCTTATCTCATAATCTCAAAATCTGTAACCGGGGAAAGGAGGCGACTTTTTGTATTAAGAATAGGGAGGAGGTCATAGATCTCACTCTCACTAACATGGATGAATCACTTATACTGAACTGGAAAGTTTCTACTGAGTGTTCCTTCTCGGACCACCGGAAAATAACATTCCAAATTTCGGTAGAGGGATTGAATCAAAAACCGCATAGGAACCCGAGAAGGGCTCGATGGAATCAATTTGCGGAGCATACCGCACGGATGCTTAAGTCCACTGGTGATTTTCCAGTGGCCTCGGCATCGGATGTGGACGACTCCGTCAAGTTGCTAACAAAGATCCTGATCGGCAGCTATGAAAGAGCCTGTCCGCTAACCTTCCCGGGTAAAAGGCACCAGCCTGTCTGGTGGTCGAAAGACCTAGCTCAGCTCAGGAAGACTAGTAGACGACTATACAATAAGGCCAACAAGACCAAACTGGGTACGGACTGGGAAGCTTATAAACTAGCCTTCAATAAGTACAACAGTGAGATCAAGAAGGCCAAGAGACGGTCTTGGGTGTGTTTCACCGAGTCCATAGATGATGTCAACGCAGCCTCCAGATTCCGTAGAGTACTTTCAAAGGACCCAAAATCCATTGGAAGCATAAAGCGGACTGATGGTAGCTGGACTGACTCAGGTTTAGAGACTCTCAATCTATTAGCCAGTACCCACTTTCCGAACTGCTCTGATGCGGTATTTGACCGATTGGCAACACGGTCTAGTCAGCATAGTGGGACGGAAGATGTGAATCTAACTAATAGTATTGTTAACACCCCCAAGATTTTGTGGGCTATTAACTCATTCAAACCTTTTAAGTCACCGGGTCCAGATGGCATTATCCCCGCCATGCTACAGCATGCGTCGGCGGAGATAATACCAGTCCTGGAGGTGATTTTTAAGGCTTGTCTGCGTCTTTCTCACATCCCACTACTGTGGAGGGAAGTTACAGTCACTTACATTCCCAAAGCTGGGAAGCCAAGCCATGTTCTTCCAAAAGACTACAGGCCTATTAGTCTCTCGTCTTTTCTATTGAAAACGCTAGAGAGACTAATAGACATAGAGATCAGATCTCTAATACCCCTGACCTCCTTAAGCACTGCTCAGCACGCCTATATGAAAGGCAAATCTGTTGAATCAGCGCAGCACGACGTCGTGGGTTATATAGAGAAGAACCTGAACAGCTCATGTTTCACGTTGGCGGCCTTCCTCGATATCGAGGGGGCCTTCAATAATGTTACATTAGAGGCAATTCACAGTTCTCTCGAAAGACTTAGTGTGCCACCACTTCTCGTCGACTGGATTGATGTTATGCTCAGCAGCAGAATCGTTAACTCTAGCATCGGGGAGTGTTCTGTTAGGAAAACGGTCACTAGGGGTACTCCACAAGGAGGCGTTTTGTCACCACTGCTTTGGCTTCTGGTGATAAATAACATTCTACTTGATCTGGAACACAGCGGAACAAAGGTCGTGGCTTACGCCGACGATGTGGTCCTGCTGATTGCTGGGAGATTTCCGCAAACTATTACGGATCTTATGCAGGGAGCTCTGGTTAAACTCTCCAGATGGGCGCGCTGCAATGGTTTAGGCGTGAACCCACCTAAAACTGAGTTCGTACTTTTTACAAGGAGGCGGAAAATACCCGTCCTCTCTCTCCCAATGCTGGATGGTGTAACTCTAAGCCTTTCTTCGGAAGCAAAATATCTCGGTACCATTCTAGACCAGAAGTTAAGCTGGAAAAGGAATATCGAGGAGCGAGCGAAAAAGGGCTTAAATGCACTTTATTCCTGCAAGAACTCCATAGGAAATAGTTGGGGGCTTAAACCCCATATTATCCGATGGATATATGAGTCAGTCGTCCGACCAATCCTTACCTATGGCGCACTTGTGTGGTGGCATTCCTTACGGAAAATCACCTTCAGCAAGAATATTGACAAAGTACAAAGAGTCGCATCGCTACTAATTACAGGAGCGGTCAGGAGCACGCCACAATCCGCTCTAGACACCCTACTCAACTTAAAGCCTCTAGGCTTATTTGTAGAGGAACTAGCTGCTAGGTGTGCCCTGCGACTCAACGAATTGGGACAATGGCGGAGTCAACCCTTCGGGCACTCTGTCATTCTTAAGTATGTGGAAAACGTAAGTAATCAGGCTATAGCTAGTGACTATATACTCCCTAGGCACAGCTTTGATCTACTTGACATCCGCATACCAAACAGGGATATCTGGTCCCGTGGCACGCCACCTTTCGACGGTATAGCTGTCTATACTGATGGTTCAAAGATGGAAAGTGGAACGGGTGCTGGAGTCTACTGTGAAAGCCTAAGTATCCGAAGATCCTTCAGGCTAAACAGCGATTGCAGCGTTTTTCAGGCAGAAATATTTGCTGTCAGAATGGCCATAGAACTGCTGAATAATAGAATTAACGAACTGGATGGACCGGTGACTATATATGTCGATAGTCAAGCGGCCCTAAAAGCTCTAAATTCTTTCACAATCAAGTCTATGGCTGTTCTGGAGTGCAAGAATGCCCTGGAAAAGTTTAAGTCAGTTGTCAAGCTCTGTTGGGTCCCTGGACACTGCAACATATCTGGCAATGAATCTGCCGATGAATTGGCCAGACGCGGATCTGAGTCTGTAGATCTAGAGATCGAGAGCTCAGTGAAGCCACCTTTATGCCACTTCTTTCAAGTTCTGCATAAACACTATCTTGGAAGATTTCAACAGAACTGGCTATCTGGAAGGGGATGCATCATCTCCAAAAAGATTTGGCCGGTGAACTCCGAACGGAGATCACGGTCACTCCTGTCCATGACGAAGTTGGACTTGAAGCTTGTGGTGGGCCTAATTACAGGTCATTGCAACATAAAGGCCATGACTTCAAAATGGGGGGGTGACGACACTGAATACTGCAGGCTATGTCAGGACGAGGAAGAAACAGAAACGGTGGAACACTTACTCTGTCATTGTCCTACCCTTATCGGAGTAAGACATAGGCTTCTGGGTAAGCACTTACTGCCTGACCTGTCATGCCTCTTCGAAACAGAACCAGCAGTCATTCTTCAATTAGCCAGAAGACTAAAATGGCTAAGGACGACACGCTGATTACACCGTGGACGCAAACCCACTAGCTCTTCTAATTCTTCTAAATCTTATTTTCTACACTAACTATCTTTCTTACCTCACTTCCACTTTTTTCTAGACTAGGATGATCACAATGGGCCAGTAGGTCTCCGAGTGGAGTGGTTGTTGTTTTTACACAGCCACACATCCTTTAACCTAACCTAACCTATGTATGGAGAAAGGCAAATGAAGCGCTCCTTGCCAAAAAATATGAAGCCTACAGTGAAGCACGGTGGTGGGTCAGTTGTGGTGTGGGGTTCATTGTCAGACTCTGGACCTGGATTTTTGGTTGTTTGTTCTGTAAAATATTTATCCGTTGCAGAATTTGCAAGAATCTACTAGGTTTGCATTTTTATATCATAAACAGAATATCGGTAATTTTAGTAAATATATTTTACATTCTTGCAGATCTGAAACAGACCATACATACAATGACATTTGCGATAAAATGGCTTTTGTAATATTTAAAAATTGTAAAAATGCCAAGGAGAGTCCCATGTCCCTACTTAATAAGTCATCCGTCAAATAGAGTGCCATTGTGAATTAATCGTATGAAAACATAAACAAAAATTTTGACATTTTTTCGTTCTTCTTATACGACCTGGGGCCAAATCACCGCATTCGTCATCGAGTTCTGTTTCGTATAGAGAAACATTTCGATCGCTGTAAATTGGATCACCGCATTCGGTCGCAATTTCTACTACCATTTTTTACATTGCTGTAAACATATGGTAATAGGAAACTGGAAGCGAAAAAGAATTTCAAAATAGGTTTTTGCGATAAAAATATGTTATTTCTGGGAAGTTTATACTGTTTATGTGTGTTTAAATACATGTGTACAAATATATTATGAATGCAAGTGTTTTTTTTTTTGTTTTCCTCGTCTTCGGACTCAGAGCATGAGTACAAAGTGGCATTAATAAGGAATAATATTCGTGACAAATTCATTCCTATAACATTGCCTGAAGTGTTGTAAATGATTCTATTCAAAATCCGCACAAAAATCACTTCATACTAGGTTTTATATATATATGTATACTACCTATCGTGTACAACTTCGAGTAAAAACAATTCGATAACGACTGCGGTGATCCGCGTAAACTACATTACGATGCTGAAGTACTCGATTTCGACTACGGTGATTTGGTCCCTGCTTAATGTCTGTGTGTTCACTAACACAATTGTAATTTGAATAGTTTTGTATAGAATATTTAGATTTTTCCGAATAGTCGATGAGGAAAGTCCTGTCGGATATTTTTATGAATACACCGTTAGAAATATTGGAGTACATAAATATAACTTACTATATTAAGAAATTATTTCATTAATTGTAAAACTTAAAGCTGTATAGATTTATCCTTTTTCATTTAATTTTCTATCTGACATTATTGTTTACATTTTATAAACAATTAACAAAATATTTCTCTCTATTTATAAAGAGGCAAAACAACACATGAAATATTTTTTATTTCAAAACACATACAATTAACAAATATTTTTGATGTTCTCTCTATAGCCCTGTTATAAAATTTAAATTTATAAAAATGTAATCAAAGGAAAAAAAATACATATGTAAGTGTGTATTAGCAAAAATTATGAATCATATGAAAAATAACAAAATAAAAATTATGATGATGAATCGAGGAATCGCTAGAAATCGTGGAAAAACACTCGCATTGGTAAATTCACCATGACATTTAAATGTACAGCAAATTTGATTCTTTCGATCAGAAACAAGATGTATGTTTATACACATTTTGGCGTACGACTCGCATGGTAAACAGCGAAAACAAGGTGGGTTATAGCAATCACCTGAATACAATTTTTTCTTTGTCATAAAATGTATACACCTAAGGGATAGAAATCGTCGCGTTTGATATCGCTTTCTCACCCCGGAAGGAGCATCCTTGGGGATGACATGAACCACGCCCGCGATAGTCGAGGTGTTCAGAGAGCAAAGCTGACATGCCTACCACTGCCCCACAGAGTCTTATATTCCTCAGATAGAATAAAGTCTTATTTATGTTAAATTCGTGAATGATTGCAAACTATCACTGTTTTATCCGATGGTAGTCACTAGATAGTGTCTGCACACGAGACACATTCTTTTAACTTTCTTGCGCCACTAAGTAGTAACTCCGTGACGATATAAAGCAGACAATAGTAGTTTTGTTATTGTAAATGTACATACTATCGCATTTATTAGGATTAGAAGCGTCGCAGAAGTGGCATCTTAAAATGGAAATGAGTTACTCACTTCCAAAAGCTTGCAGGGCAGGGTCATAACATGTACACAGTTTTAGAATGTGTATGTATTGTTTTGAATAATATTCAAAATAATTTACACAAAATACAAAGTGTCAAATAAAACATGTGAAAAACACTTAATGGTTCGGTCCGGCCGAACATTTAATACCCTCCGCCATTTGGAAGGAACTATCGCATTTATTAGGATTAGAAGCGTCGCAGAAGTGGCATCTTAAAATGGAAATGAGTTACTCACTTCCAGATGCTTGCAGGGCAGGGTCATAACATGTACACAGTTTTAGAATGTGTATGTATTGTTTTGAATAATAATCAAAATAATTTACAAAAAACACAAAGTGTCAAATAAAACATGTGAAAAACACTTAATAGTTCGGTCCGGCCGAACATTTAATACCCTCCGCCATTTGGAAGGAACTTAAAAAATGTTGTAAACATTTTGTCGAAAATTAATGAAATGAAAACCGTTATATGGGGGATATACGAACCGGAGAACCTAAATGAGCAATAATTTGTCATTGGCTGTAGAACCGATTTCGAACTTCAAATGCGGAATTTGAAATAATTCCGGTGAATAATGTCGCTTATATCATCAAAATTCCGAATAAAGGGAGGTACCATTGTAATTATGCTAAACGCAATTTTCTGTCATAGATTGTAGTATCCGTCACATAGAAATTTGAAACTATTCCTGTGAAATAAAATAAATAATAATAAGATCATAAAAGTGCACATTGAAAAAAGTAACTGTATAAGTTCGGCACGTTCCACCACAACTCCCCTTGCTCGATCAAACACGAATGCTGATTGGCGCACTGGCATCTCATCTACAACTCCCTTGGCGGAGACCGTAGTGAGCGGATCGCCGCTGGGCATTGGTTGTTGTCGGCTTGCTCTCATTGGAAGTAGTTGTAATAAAAAGAGACAAGGAATCCTCTGCGATCATATAGAACCTCTGCGTTCACTTGTCTGCATTTGTATATGTACTTGTTGATAGACATGGAACCCTCAGCAATCACTCAGAACCAGCGCATTCCCCAACAACAAGCAGTTCTGTTGGTGTTAAAATTAATTTGCTTCCTTTTAATGATCATACAAAAATATTTAGTGCTCTTATTATTACCACTTTGTTCATTATTTTCGTTTCTAACTCTCATTCCAAAGTCGAACCATTTGTTAGAATTGACAGTATCATTTAGCAAAAATAACATCCAATCATCTCTTTTTGCTTCGCTCACAATTCATTTTACATCGATTCAACCGGCGGATCTTTAAAGAGTTATTGATGCTGCTTCCCACTTCCCCCTCGTTGTGGCTCTACTTTTTCGCCTTAGTTGAATAAGAATTTACATTTTTGGATAAATTCACCCTACAGTCGGCATTCTTTGCAGAAATATTTAGCTATATATTTCGGTGAAAATTCATCGTTTTTTGTCTAGATTTGCACAAATTGAAACTCTACGTTCGGTTTTTAGAATTTTTTGACAAATTCACCCTACCTTCGGAATTCTTTGCACATATTCGAGAAACATATATTAATTGAAATTATTCGTTTTGTGGCTATTCTTGTGACTGATTGGGCAATTCATTTATAGTTGTTTGTACTGTTTGTGATTCTCCGTAGGAATTGGGTATTTTTTGGAAGAATACACCCAATTTTCGACATAAACTTTCAACATTTACCAAATTTAGCAATAAATATTTCCTAGAGTTACTCGATTTTGCACGACACGTTGTAATTCTTTGTGGAAATATCGTACTGGTCTTAAGCGTTTCGAAAATTTTACATATAATTTGAACAATACCCCTCAGTTGGCATTGCCAAACCAATTATCTTCTTGATTTTTTGATATTGGAGCAATTTTAGAAATATTTGTCACATAGGAAAAGTTTTTCTAAATTCTCTCCTATTGAACCCTGCTATATCTTCAATATTTATAACTTTTTGAAGTATTTGGAGGTTTTTTTGGTTTGGACATTTTTCATTTCCTTTCAACAATAGCAACCTTTGTTCGAATTTTATTTCCTCTGCATACAGTTTGCATTGTTTTGTTATAAATTTAGTAACAAAATGTCGATCACTCTGCTCACACCTTTTACTAGAGCCGCTGACATTGTTCTGAGGAGTGTAGAATATTTCGAACAAATTGATGCCACACGGTTCACTATTAATAGCCTCGAACTTCGCCTTTCAGAAATTCGAGAATTATGCGAGAAGGCTCAGAACACTTATACTGAGTGTAAAAACTACCTCACGGCATCCGAGACTACACAGGTTGAAAACATTGATGTCGTTGAGGATAAATACAATAAGTCATTTATTGCTTACCATTGGTGTTTCAACACCATAAAAAAAACACTTCAATCGCTTTAAATCTTCAATTAATGATAATTGTTCTCCTGATGTGGCTCCTCAGTCCTCCCTTGCTTTAAGTTCTAAACATAACTACGCCTGATATTTCTAATAGAACATCACCTTCCGAGCTGCATTTGGACAGTCTCGTCGAACCGGTCTCTGTGCAGTCTGCTTCTCCAACCGTTAATACTTGCTCCAAATCTCCCACTAATATAAAATCCAATTCACCCTTCGATAATCATTGTTGCCACCTATTCATATCGAAGTCTTTGCTGGTGATTTTGTATCTTGCCCAACTTTTCGAGACCTATTCACCACCCTGTTCGTTAGTAATTCAGGCTTTTCAAACATAGAATGTCTCTGTCATCTTAGACAGAAGACTACCGGTGAGGCTCGCGAAATTGTTTGCGCATTTCCACTCACAAATCGTAGTTTCCCCTTAGCGTGGAAAGCTTTGTCGGATACGTATGATAATAAGCGCATCGTTGTGAATAGTCACATAAAAAGTTTGTTTGATATTCCACTTTTAAAATTTAAAACTTGTTCGGGATTGAAAACTATCCAACGTGGCATAAATAGTTGCCTTGCTGCAATGGCCATCTATGACGTCGCCACAGATCAGTGGGATCCAATTATTGTGCATATTTGTTTGCAGCGCTTGCCATTTACCACCTTGACTTTTGGGAGCAAAGTTTCAAAAGTAAGTCGTTGTTGCCTTCTTGGCTAGACTTAGATGCTTTCCTCACAAAAAGAATACAAACATTACAATGCATTTAAATTTGGCGTAAAAATCCGTCCACCAAAGTTGTTGTTTCTCCCAATTCCTCATCGTCGCTAAATAATGTTAATCCTTCTAAATCTGGAATGATATCATTGTTGCCAAATAGAGTTAACCTTTTTGATTTCTCCAGTAAGACATCTACATCTAAAGATAATTACACCCCTTTTCGACCACAAAATGGTCGTTGGTACATAGGCCAAAATCTGTGTCTTCACCTCGATCAGCTAATTCATTGTCGAATAGTTATTGTCCCATTTGTCCTAACCAGAGTCATGTTCTTCGACTCTGTCCCACCTTTGTAAAACTTTCGTTTGAGGATAAATTCTCGATTGTTAAGAATAACAAATATTGTATAAATTGTCTTTCACGTGGTCATGTTGTAAAAAACTGTCGTAGTACAAATTGTTGCAAATTTTTCAAACAAAGCCATCACAACCTTCTTCACCTGGCACAAATTAGTGGTTTCGTTGGATCATCTTGTATAAAAAAATCGAAGGTATCTACCAATCGTAAGAATCTTGAATCTTATCTGTCTTCGCAAACATACGTTGTGAAATCTAAGAATCCATAAGCGGCTTTTACTACAGTCAAAAGTCGAGAGTCGATGCCCAAACAGACTTCCCCTCCGGCTTTTACGAAGGTCAAAAGTCGAGGTCTTGAGCCATCCAAACCGCACCAACCCACCTCTTCTAAAAATAATTGTAACAGTCAGTCTCCCAATATCATTCAGGAAAATGAGCTCTTGGGAACTGCACTAGTAAACATTGTTCATAATGGTAACAGTCATACTGTTCGTGCTATAATAAACACTTCTCGGGTATATCCTCACCGGTTTAGTACCTCCCGCTACTGTAATATAATCTCGCACCAAAAATTTAAGTCAACTATTTCTTTAAATAATGTATATCGCTTAAAATTTAAAAATATTGCATGCACTAAAGTTTGAAATAGTAGACCGAATCTATCGGTAATTCGTTATATCGCTTTGATATTTTGAAACTCTGCAACTATAGCTCACTTAGGAATCTGAATCATAAATTAGAATTTCTTTCCTAATTTATGATAACTTTATATAGATTGCTAGACTCGTAGTTCTAGCAAGGGGCCAGAATGTATAAGTTCGATACGTTCCACCATAACTTTCCTTGCTCGATCAATCACGGATGCTGATTGGCGCACTGGCATCTCCTCTGCAACACCCTTAGCGGAGACCGTAGTGAGCGGATTGCCGCTGGGCATTGGTTGTTGACGGTTTTCTCTCTGATGAGGTCGACTCCTAACCTCATCACAAAGCGGTGCAACTAGAAAAAGAAAACGCGGCGAGATGATGTTTCTCGTTCCGTGGAAGGGAACTCAATTTATTTATAACATATTCTTAACACTAAAGCTTACATCTAATACATTAACACATGCATTTTATTTACTAATGCACGCTGTGCATTAACGCACACAATACGTTGCGGGAGAAAATGAAACGTACCTAATTTGTGATTGACTCTTTCTTATCTTCTTTTTATGGTCGTGACATTTATTACATTATTTATTACCGACCATAAACCTAGCATATGGAAAACACATGCATCTTAAATGTTATCTTTATTTAACTAATTTACATTATAAGAATAGAATTTAAAGAAGAACATTCAACACATAAACTATTTTTACAACAGGTACAGTTTCTACAAAATTAAACACTCTCATTGTAATAAAAAGAGACAAGGGCTCCTCTGCGATCACATAGAACCTCTTTATAAATCGAAAATTCCAAGGCGTTCCACTCGATTTTTTGCGATTTAATACCCTCCGCCATTTGGAAGGAACTTTAAAAATTTTGTAAACATTTTGTCGAAAATTAATGAAATGAAAACCGTTATATGGGAGCAATACGAACCGGAGAACCTGAATGAGTAATAATTTG